AGAGTAGAACCCCTTTTGTCCCCTTTATTTTACCTGATGACGGACAAAGATCCAGTCCCCGAAACGTCGTTTTATGGGAAACAACAGACTATGGATGATGTCCAAAATTTTAGCAAAACTAGTATAATAATTTATAATCTCCCGCCATTGCATGATCAGACTTGTAATAAATAAAATGTGGCTTAAGTCATCAATGTTCTTTGTCTTGTTAAAAATACCTGTATTCAGGGCAATCGGTCTGATGACGGAGGCAGCAAATACCTCTGAAACAGTGAGGGCTGGGAGAACACCTAAAACTATTTATCACTGTAAATACATTATACATTCTCCGGCAGATTTTATGTAACCCGTCCATGTTCCCCCGTACAAAGCAAGAATTATTAACAAAAAGATACGAGGAATTAATTCAAATTTTAACACACGCGAGTTTTAAAAATATTATAAACTAACGTTCCTCTGAAAAACTTTTTGACTGGTCTTAAGAAGGCGTTTTGAAAAGCGTAGACGTAAAAATGCCACTTCCATTTCAATTTACATATTCGTACACAACACCGCCTTTAAATAATCAGTAACAAAAACGAGATATCGAAGTAGGCTTAATGCTGAACATAACGTGACGAAACAGACTTCATAAACTTCAACCCCTTAATGGCCGACAAACAGATCCAGCCGTCGCATTGTCAAACACAAAATAAACTGTTTCGTAAAATATGAGATGGATTTAATTTAACTTTCTGCATATAGCAAATTAGAAATAAGTAATTACTTAATAATACAGCAAATGTATAATCCGTACACTAACTGTTTCAACATGCATCTTGTTACAAATTTTTATATCCAAATGCGCCTAACTTACTGTAACCTAACCTAAACCAGACGGGAACTCCGCCCCAACCGGGGGTCAGAGTCCCATATGCGTGCATCCGCCCTTCTTGGGATTCAGCCCCATCCAAAGGGTTCGCCCCACACGGGAATTTGTTCCCGGCGGTCGACCTGCTACACCCGGATCACGTACGACGCACAACCATGGATTTTGAATCAAAGAATTATTAAAAACTAATTTACTGTTAATATGTGTTGGGCAAGGCCGTGGTCTAGGCAACACGGAGGTTTCCTCCGTGGCATCCCAACAATTACTCCATTCACACACAGAAGAAGGCAATGGCAAACCACTTCTGGATCATCTGCCAAGAACGTATATGAACAGGTCCCAGTCCGAGAAAAGGATGGAAGGATCCTGTTCATATGGACCTGTCGTCAGACAGAACACTAAATAAATAAATATCACACTAACCGTAACTGAGTACGTTTTAAAAATTTGTTAAAGCATAACAATAAATTTATATTTTAAACTTGGAAGTACAAAATACTGACAATAGTAGCAGGAGTTACTGTTAGTAGTGGTGCTAGAAGGTACCTGTCCCCACTCCTTGCTACAAATTCGTATGGACTCTGTTTGTTGACAGTCTGTCACGAAAAGCAAACATAAACGTTTATTACGTAAGGCATGTGTCGCTTAATTCTTTCACAAGTTGTGATGAATGTAGTGTCTTTTGTCGGAAACAGTTTCCGTTGACAAACAAAAATTCATTAAAAGTAGTGCCCCTAAAAATGAACATACTGGCTACTTGGACGACCCGTTCTTCAAGTGTCTGAGCACTGCGGGTCCCAACTTTTCGTTGGCTTGATCTATAGACTCCTTGGACGAGGGATCAGCCCGTCGAAAGGCCTCTATCTGTACACAGGACAGCACAACACAGAAAAAACTTTTAAAGTCTTCAAGTGGTACATCCCAATTAATAAACGAGTTTTAGAAGATTTATTCATTGCAGTATTAGCACAGGTTACTTTTAATTTCCAATTTTAACTGTCGATTGCATGTTTTTGTAATACGCGAATAGTAAATGCTGCTGAGTCTAATTCTTTGTTCAGTGCAAACGTCCTCAATACAAAGCATCATTCTGTGGCGACGTGGGGAGGTGTGTGTATATATACCAGTGCGTGCGTGCGTGCGTTCGTTGTGAGGATGTGCCCGGTAAAATAAAAGTCGAACGACGTGTTACAGTACAAAAATAGGGTAAACATGCTTTGTGTGAGACTGCTGGCCAGTTAGAGATTTAATGTAAACAGTCAAAAAAACTCTTAGATCAGCGTTCCACACTAAAAATAATAACGGACCCCCCCCCCACTTATTACGCACAAACGTGGCATGACTTAAGTTTCTCCAATTCAATTCGGTGATGCACAGTAAATATTTACAAAATGAGGAGAAACAGAATCAGCCAATGAGGGCACTTGCTGTACCCCGACATCAAAGAAGACTTAAAAAATCCCACTCTAATGAAGAAACACTTTATTCTGTGTAAATGAAAGCGGATTTACCGTCTCAAAAACTTCTTAAGGATTTTGTCTGAAAACAGTAACAGTGACGAACACAAACCAAAAGTCACTATTACTGACGACGAAGTCTGTTTACATCACCTGCGGTCCTATGAAATGCAGATGTCTGTGTTTGTGCCTCACCTGACTCGAAGACGAGAGCCCAAGTTGACGATAAACGACAGATCTCAAAGCCGACACTACCCGTAAATGCTATCCAATCGACATCCAAGGGTGGCCCTGCCAGGGAACAAGTAGCAAATGCGTCAGCCTGGGGGAATCCACCCCCTCCTAATAATGATCCTTTCTCATGGCGACAATATACCGAGAACAGCAAACCACACCACTGAGGGTCCACACTAAATGAAATCATCTCAAACTGATTACTTTCCGTAAAACACTTAGCCTCCACAGGGCTGTCCTTCCACCACGAACTCTGCATTACAACTCCATCTTTAGACACTCATACACCTGTACAGTGCCCTACACCAGACCGAACTGAGTGAAACATCAGCTGGTGCAAAATGGCGTCTCACACCCACAGATCAATATGCTACCCCGGCCGGCCGGCCAATGCCATCAAGCCTAAAAATAAGGCATCGCGCATTCAGGAACCAAGATGCGTTTAATCAAGTGTCCAGAATCATGAAAAACAAACACGAGGGCAATTTAAAAATTCCGTTTCGAAAGTATTTTATATAAATTAATTCAGGCAACTCTCGGTTTACGAACGAGTTCTGTTCCAAGACGCTGTTCGTTATGTGTATCTTGCATTCCTGAGCTTTTACGATACGTATCGTATACGTTAGCAGCCATTTTAAAGCATTAAAACCATGTACTAAAACATCGAATGGGAGACCGCTGGGGAGACCTAGACGTAGATGGGAGGATGTCAGGCGGGATCTATGGGGACTGGATTTTGTTGGCCCAGGACAGGGTCCGGTGGAGGGCTTTGGGTAATTCGGTGATGAACCATCGGGTTCCCTTAGCCATCTATAGTTAGTTAGTTTATGTGTAAAATAATACTGATGACTACGTTTTGCTCATGAAAAAATGTTACAGTATTAAATATGCTTTATAGACAACAACAGCACAGTGTCCAATTGCTTTTGGTAAGTTCCAGACGCAAATTTTGAAACATACTTGAACAAAACGAAGTTTGGGTTTAAATTAATATTTGTGCGAATAAAATTTATGCAATAAAATACGATTGTGCCAAGAGTTGAACTCGCATATCTGACCTCGTCACACGTCTCAGAAAAGTCATCAATCAACATGCAGACAGAGTCGTGAATTTGCTTAACAGGTACCTGGCACCATAATTAACGGAAGACAGGGTAAAGTCACACACATATACAAGCACCAGGAAATTACATCACTTCCGGTTTCGGATTTGTGCGCCTGATTTTTGGCGCAGTGCACTTATTATTCTCAGTTTGTCTTAATGCCGGTAGATGGGCATAATGTCTGCAGTGTTTGAACAGCTGTTATGAAGGTCGTTGCAACACTGCGATGAATCGAGAGTGGTTGCAATCCCTTGTCAATTGTTCTCATTCAAGTAATCGATTCTTCCAAAAAGTAATCTGTATTAAATACTATTAAGTGGAAGTATCAAGAGAATGACCAGACTACAATAAATCTTACGGGTTTGTAAAACTAATATGTTACAACATTAAACCAAGTGAACCGAACTACGGGGAAAAACGTGAGACAAAACTTTCGCGACATAACCTTCAAAGATACTTCGTTGGCTTTTCCTCTAATATTCCCAATTACTCACAGTTCTCAAAACTCTTGCTTTGTTACCTCTGCGTCGCTACATAACCTGACAACCAGCGAACAAACTGAGTTTTCGTGATGTAGCTAAAAACTCATTTTGATTTATTTGTGGTTTCATTAAACTCAGACTTTTCCACAAATATTTCCACACCAAATTACACACACACACACACACACATTATATTGTATAAGAACCCACAGCATTACACCTATACGAATGCACAATGAATCGTTTTCGTAAATAAATTTTAACAGAGAAAAATACCATTTGTGATACAAAACACAAGATCAGAGATAAAACAAGAAAATTAAAATATACTTCTGAACTGCGACAATCCCCAACACCACTGCTTGTTTAATAAATTTTTATTACTTACATTCAGGATTATACTTTCTTAGACGTTTCATTTCACCTACAAGCGTTATCAGTACATCCTTAGATTATCACCATTAGATTGTGTAGTCTACCTTTCTGCTTGCAACGATACAATGAAAGTAATGCTCACAGCTATAACTTATCACTTAACTTTAAAATGGTTAAATAAACAAAGAAAATCCTAGTGCTCCACACTTGGTACTTTCATTGCGTCGCTAAGGATCTGTCAACATGGCCTTGAGCTTGGCGCACACAGTTCTTGCAACGATACACGAAATCTATTTGTTTTAAAACGTATAAAAATTATTATTATTTATACCACTAGTTTCTGTCCGTTCCGTGGACACGCCAAGCACTGAAGACAGCTAGGCCAACACAAAATAAGTATCGGTCAGTTGTCTCAGTAAGGTCCTCTAGCTTCGTAAAAAAACTAATGGCGTGCTAGGAAATGCTTCACAAAGCCCTCAGACTTGGGCTGGATTTTTCTTTAAGGTGGGTACCACCAGCGAACTCTGAACACAATAACAAGCCCTCCATAAAAGGAGAGAAATTTGACATCGAATGGGAGACCGCTGGGGAGACCTAGACGTAGATGGGAGGATGTCAGGCGGGATCTATGGGGACTGGATTTTGTTGGCCCAGGACAGGGTCCGGTGGAGGGCTTTGGGTAATTCGGTGATGAACCATCGGGTTCCCTTAGCCATCTATAGTTAGTTAGTTTATGTGTAAAATAATACTGATGACTACGTTTTGCTCATGAAAAAATGTTACAGTATTAAATATGCTTTATAGACAACAACAGCACAGTGTCCAATTGCTTTTGGTAAGTTCCAGACGCAAATTTTGAAACATACTTGAACAAAACGAAGTTTGGGTTTAAATTAATATTTGTGCGAATAAAATTTATGCAATAAAATACGATTGTGCCAAGAGTTGAACTCGCATATCTGACCTCGTCACACGTCTCAGAAAAGTCATCAATCAACATGCAGACAGAGTCGTGAATTTGCTTAACAGGTACCTGGCACCATAATTAACGGAAGACAGGGTAAAGTCACACACATATACAAGCACCAGGAAATTACATCACTTCCGGTTTCGGATTTGTGCGCCTGATTTTTGGCGCAGTGCACTTATTATTCTCAGTTTGTCTTAATGCCGGTAGATGGGCATAATGTCTGCAGTGTTTGAACAGCTGTTATGAAGGTCGTTGCAACACTGCGATGAATCGAGAGTGGTTGCAATCCCTTGTCAATTGTTCTCATTCAAGTAATCGATTCTTCCAAAAAGTAATCTGTATTAAATACTATTAAGTGGAAGTATCAAGAGAATGACCAGACTACAATAAATCTTACGGGTTTGTAAAACTAATATGTTACAACATTAAACCAAGTGAACCGAACTACGGGGAAAAACGTGAGACAAAACTTTCGCGACATAACCTTCAAAGATACTTCGTTGGCTTTTCCTCTAATATTCCCAATTACTCACAGTTCTCAAAACTCTTGCTTTGTTACCTCTGCGTCGCTACATAACCTGACAACCAGCGAACAAACTGAGTTTTCGTGATGTAGCTAAAAACTCATTTTGATTTATTTGTGGTTTCATTAAACTCAGACTTTTCCACAAATATTTCCACACCAAATTACACACACACACACACACACATTATATTGTATAAGAACCCACAGCATTACACCTATACGAATGCACAATGAATCGTTTTCGTAAATAAATTTTAACAGAGAAAAATACCATTTGTGATACAAAACACAAGATCAGAGATAAAACAAGAAAATTAAAATATACTTCTGAACTGCGACAATCCCCAACACCACTGCTTGTTTAATAAATTTTTATTACTTACATTCAGGATTATACTTTCTTAGACGTTTCATTTCACCTACAAGCGTTATCAGTACATCCTTAGATTATCACCATTAGATTGTGTAGTCTACCTTTCTGCTTGCAACGATACAATGAAAGTAATGCTCACAGCTATAACTTATCACTTAACTTTAAAATGGTTAAATAAACAAAGAAAATCCTAGTGCTCCACACTTGGTACTTTCATTGCGTCGCTAAGGATCTGTCAACATGGCCTTGAGCTTGGCGCACACAGTTCTTGCAACGATACACGAAATCTATTTGTTTTAAAACGTATAAAAATTATTATTATTTATACCACTAGTTTCTGTCCGTTCCGTGGACACGCCAAGCACTGAAGACAGCTAGGCCAACACAAAATAAGTATCGGTCAGTTGTCTCAGTAAGGTCCTCTAGCTTCGTAAAAAAACTAATGGCGTGCTAGGAAATGCTTCACAAAGCCCTCAGACTTGGGCTGGATTTTTCTTTAAGGTGGGTACCACCAGCGAACTCTGAACACAATAACAAGCCCTCCATAAAAGGAGAGAAATTTGAATGATGTCTTGGCAAAATGTTACTTAAAAGGATCAATTAATTAAACCCAGAAAATGAGTCAGAAAACCTAAAGGGAAGACACCACTTGGAAGACCTAGTGATAGATGGGACAACATAAATGCATTTTAAATAAGTTGAATGGGAGAATTAATCTGCCTCGGAATAACAATCAGTGGCGGTCTCTTGTGAATGCGGGTGCAGTAAGACTATGAGATTCTCAAGGACTCTATGGAACTAGACGAGTTACTACTGAACAGTTGCAGGACACTGTTAATAGTCTTAGACCTGACTTGGAACGCGAGTGGACAAAGCATGGGACGAGTACTTTCACAATTTAAGCAAGGGGATCCTTAGCACTATGCCACACTAGTGTCTTTAAAAGGGGACAAAAGGGTCTATTTACGAAATCTTTTGTCCAACTGAACCAATATGTAACTTCATGTGAGAATGTTCACAAAAGCTACTGACTTATACAAAACTTTTTTTTAAAAAAACTGATTTAATCCTATTAAGTAAACACCTATATAAATATAAACCAGTGGGGTTATGGCAATATTTACCAAAACACAGTGACCCTCCAGATTAAGGATGCATGGAGCTCCATTCCTACGTCTTCAAGGAGCGGTACTTAATTGAGCACCATTTCATTTGTGGGGTCCGGAGGGGTTCTACAGAAATTCGTCCTCTCCCCACCACAAAGTAAACATGGACACATGAAAGCAACAAAATAAATCTGAGGTGTTACGGGAACGGATGTGTCACTGGGCTAACATAACCTATCTCGAGACGAAGGGACACTAATATTTCGACGTGTCACTGAGAATGTGATCGCTTATGTCTTTTTTACCACTTTTTAAATTAATCGTCTTTTCTGTAATATGATAGGTACAAAGATAGCAAAACATTCATGATGCTGAGGCCAAAACATGTTGACAAATGCGGAAACATTGGAAATCGTCGTGGGTTTACATGACCGAAGTCACACTACGCACATTTAATTATTTATCGATAGTTGAAATTTAATACAATTCGATTAGATTAATAAACACATGATATCGTTGTGACTATACAAGAGCCCACGCAGATCACCTC